ATCTATCTATCTATCTATCTATCTATCTATCTATCTATCTATCTATCCATCTATCTATCTATCTATCTTCCATTTCTCTAGTGTACTATTTCCCCCATCTATTAGTTTGTTAAACAAGACTTAAGCACTTACTCTATTCAGGAAACTTTGCTACGCATTAGGTGGAAATACAAAGATGAATAAAACAGATATCTACCTCAACAAGTTTGCAATCTTCATGACCATTTTAGGCAACAGTCTGTTGGGAGGGAATTTCACATCTTCCCAATACAATAAATAGCAAATGCCATTTCACTTTTGTGTTTGAACCCGAAGTATTTAGGTTTGGCATATAGTGGGTGCTTAAAAATGCATATTTGATGATGGATTTTGCAGAAAAAAGCACTGAATTTGAGATGGGAAAAATGAGTATATGATGCATTCCAAACAGGAAAACAGAGGAAGAAACCTGTCCCCAGGCATGGACATATTCCCTCATATGGGAATAATTATACAAATTAAAATAGTTCCAAGAGGGAATGGCATATAGATAAAAATGCCTTTTCTATACCCTGAATATCCATACAAACAATAAGTCCTCATATTCAATTTGCACACTCTCTTTTACACATTCTCATATAAAATTCACAGTTGTGTGAATCTTGCTTAGAGTTGGACATATATTTCATTTTATGGGATAGTTCTATGGCTAAGATGCTGGCAGATTAGTGTATCTTTATTCATTGAGCTCTATATTTCAAATGAATGGTCCATGCATATATGGAAATATATATTCTCTGGAGCTAAGGATCTGTTCTTTAGGTATAAAATTAGCCTTGACTTGCCTAGGGAGACTCAACTGAATTGGGGGAAGTTGATGTTTTCATCGTTCCAAACTAATTTCAATTAACTCAGTCATTGGCAACCAGCAAGAAGCATTGTTCTGGGCATATTAGCTGCTACCATAGCCCCAGGCAAAACTGCAAAGGGGACAAAATTTGCTTCTCTCCCCTTCCTGTCTCCCTTGATTAACCCTTCTCTCTACTGCCTCTTTAACTATAACTTACAGATACCAAGTGCCCTCATGTTGTTCTCTTTCTGACCAAATGTCCTTAATCCAACAAAACTTGCCTTTTCCTCTCAACAAAAACTCTCATTTAAAAGTGATGCTGCTATCAACTGATTATGGGTCTAATTAAAATTAAACACACTAAGGTAAGGATATAATAACCTTTGCAGGGAACTTCAACATTTTAAAAGAGGAACTTGTGGACTCAAATGAATTTTGCATTGTTCAACTGTATATAAAAGATACTCTGAGTCAGACTTTCCTTTTGTGTTTTTTTTGGTTTTTTTTTGTTGTTGCTTTTTCCTTTTGTGTTTCTTTCCTGTTCTCGCACCTCAAACTCCCTTAGAAAATTTGCTAGTGATAAATGTCATCAAGTCATAACAAACGTACCAGATGGGGGACATGTGGCTAGATAAATAGTTTAGATGAAGAAGATATAGGAAATTACATGTGCAAACTTTTAGCAATGTGTTATGGCAACCAGAAAAGTTGATATGGTCTTATATACTTCATTAACAGAAAGTCCAGAAAAGGGAAGCAATGGTCTTCTTTCCCATGTCAAATCACATCTGAAATATTGTGTTCCATTCCAGGCATAGCATTTTAAGGACAATGATGGGTTAGGGAAGAGATCCAGAAGAGATCAAGCAGGGTGTGGTGGGGACAGGAACTGGTAACAAAGCTATATGATGGCCAGTTGAAAGAACTAGTGATATTTAGACTGGAGAAGAGAAGGTTTTTATGTGAGTTAGAGCAGAGAAGAGGGAATATGTGGGAGACAAGATAGTAATAATAGATATCTTTAAATATCCGAAAGATTGTCATGTGAAGGAACAATGAATATGTACATTGCCCCAGGGGGCAGAGATGAG